GACACTCGGCAGTGGGAGAACATGTATGACCCGCCACGGGAGGGCGCATGCTGGGCACTGGGCGCGAAACACAAAATGCTTCAGGGGCTGATAACTTTCCACGACAGCCTCCCTGGCCTCAGGGGCTCTGTAACTGGAGTTCCCTCCGTCGGCAATAACGGTCTCCTGAGCTCATCAGTGAAGTTTTAGCTCAAATATCTGCCTCAGAGAGGCCTTCCCAATCTTGCGGCTCTCCCCATAACTCACCCTCCCCAAGTAACTGTCATTTTTATTTAGGTTTGTGACATCACAGCACTTTTCACGATTTAAAATGATCTATGATAATAATCCGTCTTTTATCCACCAGGGCAGGGGACGCTGTCTGTTCACGGGGTTTCTAGCACAGCCCTAGCATATGATAGGCTATCAACATTATTGAATAAATGAATGAAATAACAAATAAATGTTATTGTGCTATCATTCCAATCTATGGTTAGAAAAGCTGGCAACATAATGAGCGACGCAGGTATAGAAGTCCCTTTAAAGGGGAACGAGCGGTCAGCTGGAGCCCCTGGTCATCAGCCGCTTCTGCCCTGGCTCAACAGCACAAGCGCACACATTCAGGTGGGTCGCTAACTTTTCACGGCCCTACCCGGGGAGCTGGGGGGTGCAAACCCCGGCAAGCCCGCAGGGGGCGCCCAGAACACGTCGTGTGGGAAGAACGAAAACTACATTTCCCAGAGTCCCGCTTTCGGTGACGCACTTCCGGAACCCACGGACAAGATGGCTGCCCCCGGGGAGCACGAAGCTCCTCAGCCGGCAGCGGAGGAGGAGGAAATTAAAACATTTAAAGACTTGGTGAGAAGGGATGACGCTGACTTCTGTTTGTACTCTGGAGCTAGGCCTAGTCAGGGCTCGGTTTTCTTAAATCCCGGCCGGTAGTGTACAAAAGCATATCAGGGCCTAACTTAGTTTTGGCCCAGAATTGCAGAAGCTCGGGTTGCGGACATGCTCAGAGTTTGGGTGGTGGGAGGATTGACGGGCTCCGAGAGCCCCCATTTACCCTAAAGTTTTCCACTTTAGTGTGGCAACGTTTGTATTTGTCCAGGAGCTTGTACAGATAGCAAATAGGTCTTTTTAAAGCGGGAGCGTTTGAATTTTGACCCACTTAACTATAGGCAAGTTAGCTGTTTTTCACTTAATGCATCTGGGATAGTAATACTTACCTCCTAGAATTGTGACTGTTAAATAATGTACGTAAAGCACTTGACTTTGTTCCTGGTGGTAGGAAGTGTTCATTAAGTCTGGGGCTACTGGCAGTGGTGCTCATAAAGAGGAGGTTGGGGGTGGGTGCTGCACAGTAAGTATCTGTTAAATCAAGTATAAGGGCTGTACGTGTAACTTAGCGAGATGGCTCTGACAAAGTCATTTAAATAGGAGGGAGGTGGGATGTGTTGTTCTTTGCTAAGGTATATTTTTCTGAATTTTAAGGGTGTAACAGATGTATTGTGTGAAGCTTGTGACCAGTTGGGATGGGCAAAGCCCACCAAGATCCAGATCGAAGCTATTCCTTTGGCCTTACAAGGTGGGTTAAAATTAAATATGGGACGTGGTATAGATTTAATTTGAAGTTATACTTAGCACTTTTGAAAACTATTGTCTGCATACTTCAAGTGAAATTAAGGTGTAATCACTAAAGATGAAGTTTGTGCTTCTTGGTTTTTGAAAAAGTCATTCTTCAGTTTTACTGAGCTTACTTTCTTTTTGGTGGTGGTGGTGGGGTGTCTTGCTCTGTTACCTGGGCTAGAATGCAGTGATGCAATCATAGCTCACTACAGCATCAAACTCCTGGGCTTGAGCAATCATCTTTCTGCCTCAGCCTTCCCCATAGCTAGGACTACAGGCATCAGTCACCAGGCCCAGCTGATTTTTCTATTTTTTGTAGACATAGGCCCTTGCTATGTTACTCAGGCTGGTCTCAAACTCCCAGCCTTAAGTGATCCTCCCACTGCCTTGGCCTCCCAAAGCGCCAGGTTCATAGGCATGAACCACTGCCCTCCGTCTGAGCTTATTTTCTATCTTAATAGCTGAAGTGGTTTGTTCTTTGCCATGGATAGTTCAGTTCCTTAACTATCTGTGACTATTAAGGCTGACTTTAAGGAAGCACTGGATTAAAGTATGCTAATCAGAAATTTGTTAGAAATTA